CTGTGTCACCTGGGCACTGTGTCACCTGGGCACTGTGTGTCACCTGGCCCCGGGTCACTGAGCTGGCACCTGGGTCACCTGGGCACTGTGTCACCCGACACCTGGCACCCGGGACACCTGGGCACCAGGTCATTGTGTCACCTGGCAGCTGGGTCACCTGGGCACTGGCATCTGACAGGTGGCCCCCGGGTCACTGTGTCACCTGGCACCGGGTCACTGTGTCACCTGGCAGCTGGGCACTGTGTCACCTGAGTCACCCGGCAGCTGGGCAGAGCTGGCACCTGGCACCTGGGGCACCTGCACACTGTGTCACTGTGTCACCTGGGGCACCTGGCAGATGGCACCTGAGACACCTGGCACCTGGGCACTGTGTCACCTGGCACCTGGGGCACCTGGGCACTGTGTCACCTGGCAGCTGGCACCGGGTCACTGTGTCACCTGGGTCACCCCGTCACCTCGCTCATTGGCACCTGCGGCCTCCCAAAGCTGGCACCTGCCCCGGTGAGCGCCCGGCTCACAGGTGCCACCCCGTGCTGGGGCACCCCGGGGCGGCCGCTGGCACCAGCCCGGGGTGCCCGGGTGGCACCTGCAGCGCCCTGCACCCACACTGCACACCTGGGCGCACCCACGCTGCACACCTGGGCACCTGCATCCACACCTGGGCACCTGGGCACGTGGGCACGTGGGCACCTGCACCCACACTGCACACCTGGGCACCTACATGCACACCTGGGCACTTGTACCTCAGACCTGGGCACCTGTATCCCAAATTTGGGCACCTGCCCCCCTCACCTGGGCACCTACATCCACACCTGGGCACTTGTACCTCAGACCTGAACACCTCTATCCCGAATTTGGGCACCTGCACACACCTGAGCACCTGCACGTCAGTGGTGCGCCCACACCTGGGCACCTGGACCCCGAATTCGGGCACCTGCCCCCCTCACCTGGGCACCCCGTGCCCCCTCTGGGCCCCCCTGCCCCCGCCCCCCGCCCCCACGGCCAGGGCCCGGCTGCGGGCGCGGGGGG